AACCCCTATTTTTTTCGATTTTAAAAGTTTCGTCTTGTCAGACTCTACCCGGTCGGAGAATAATAGAAAATTTTACCGAAGGAAATTGAAGAAAATTGAAATCAAAGTCAAACAGACGTCAAAAAATGGCGATATTTGAGTAGTTTTAATTTGGGACTAAAAGCCTTGACTTCAGAGGTGACTGTTGTACAGCAAATTTAGGCCCTTGTTTTTTATGTTTCAGTAGCTTTGATTTGAAAAATAGCAAAAACAACGAGAAAAATTAACTTTCGATTGATGTCACTGGCGCGCGCTTCGTGATCTTGCATAACCTTATTGAGCCACCTTAAGAAAGTCTTTCTAAAAGTGGTGTCACTAAAATGCAGGCGGAAGGTAAGGCAGTAGTCTTAGTGGTAGCACGTAAACAATAACCCCCATTTGACATGAAAATATGTAAGGATATCTATCCGAAGACACTATCTGTTCCGCGACAAGCTTTCCGAGAGCAAGGCTCCAGGAGAACTGTGAGGAACAGAAAATGTCTAAGGACATACGAGCATATTTTTGGTGGAGGGTGTTGCGTTTATTATCCTTCAAATATTTTTTTCAACGCACGAGTACGTAAAAACGTTTTCGAACAGTGTGGGGTGTGTTCTTTTCTGTGTTCTCTCGTAGAATTCCATGAACAAACAAGTAAAAATAGCTAAACGCAGCTTAAATTTGAAGAAGTCAACTCTCACCTCTGAGCTTAAATTGGTTAATGATTGAAAAAGTGTGGCTTACCTTTGGTTCAGTTATTTGCACCTTTTGACTTGCATGGACTGATGCGGTTTCACCATCACTGACTTTACGCTAGTAAGAACAGTGTCCAATTGCTATATCCGGGTAGCCCTGGAAGACCATTTGTGCCATTGAATCCACGTGGTCCTCGTGGTCCCGGATCTTTGCTTACTTTTATTATCTGGAGCAAAGGAACATTTTACAATGTTTGTTACCCCGTTTAGATATTCAATGCACTCACAGTTGTTTTTCCATTTTTCAATAATTATTTTCATGACATTTTGTGAGGATGCTTCAATTGGTCTTTGGATCAGTAGTAAAAGCCAGCCGTCCTTTGACAGTCAGCCTAATACGGTACTAACTGCAAACAACGTCGTGTCGAGAAATTTTCTAATCTCCTGACCCAAATTTTCGCATTACACATAACGCAATAGTATTAATTTATTATTATCGTTGTTGGACTTTTGTAGAGGCTGCGGATTCCACTGTCGTACCCCCCTCCCAAAAAAAAATCCCCATTTTTTCCTCTTAGCGTCACTTTACTTACCATCTGCTCTAGCTTAGTTATGTCTCGCTGAACGTCTCTCAGCTTTTCATTTACGGTTGTATTCACTGATTTTACAATCTCCATGTCAAGCTTTGCCTCAGCTTGTCTCTATGGGCAGTAAAAAACAAAAGACAAATTATTCAACTCAAGAAACGACATTGTTAAGTTTTCTCTTACAAATCAAGGACTGCTTAAGCGTATAAAAATTTTGTTTTGGTCTGAAATATGTCCTCTATTCTCGTATGATTGACACTCATAATGCACCTGGACATTATCTGAGGTGTTACCCTTGTCCAAATTTGAAACCTTCTCCTCCATCTCACTAATCTCCTCCATCTCACTAATCTGCAATGAAATGATGAGACAAAATTTGAGTTTTTTCAGCATAATACAATGAAGGAAGTTGTACTACGTATGTTGTAGCGAGACTTTCGAAAAGATCATTTAATAACTTCACTTATGATAATGATAGTTGTAATTATGATAGTAATTATACGATAGTAATGATAATAATAGTATTATAATACAATTTTCATACCAAAATATTTGGAATATAATTCAAAGTGTCTATGTCACATTATCTAAAGATAGATACTCTATCTTTATACTCATAAGAGCATTTCATAATGCCAA